ACAATGTATCTTTCTTGTGGTTGGTTAATTGCTGGCAAATTTGTTTTGTGGGAGAATAAATCATAAATCAGTCAAAACAACAAAATAAAATCAGATCAACTTTGAAAAAGTTATTAAACCTTACATGTTCATGTATTGGAAAAGTAACACCATAGTTTTCATGAAAAAAAAATATGGAAAGAAAAGAAATATGTGAAATAAGCTCCTCGCTCATAGCAAAGACTGGTAAATGAAAGGTTTGACCCATTTTGAACAACAAAATATCCATGAAAGGACAGAAGGTGTAAGAAGTCAAGATCAAAGAGAGAAAAGCATTTGACAAGTCTCTTCTCATGATTCCATCTCTCATTCCATGCTTGTATCACCCACCTTGTTATTAAGGCATTCTATCAAGTCCCTGACATACCCCCTCATCTCTTGGAAGAAACTGAATCTCTGCTCAGCATTTCGCCCTTGGCGTTCAAGTTTTTTTATGCTTCCTTGTGCAGTTTCCAGCTGCTGTGTGACTTTTTCTTGCTCCATCTGATGTCCACGATGTACCTCCTGCAGAGAGTTTAACTGTTGTTTCATCTTGTCACAAATCATGTCAACGGTAACGGCATGACGTGAATGTAGTGAAGTGGCAGTCAGAGCAGGTCCATAGGTTTGGTTTCCATTTGTGTGCGTGTTGGCATATCCTGTTCCATATGAATAAGGTTGTCCCTGGGCATATTGAAACATTGAAGATTGGTCGTCAGTATATGGCTGTTGATAAAGTGAGTTTGTCACAGCAGTAGTATGTGGTAATTCTTGTTCCACCAAAGGAACAGGAACTCCTTTTACTCCTTTACGGATCTGTTCATCTTCCCAACGCTTCAATTCCTCATCCTCCACCTCCTCGTTGTCTGATTTGTCCTCCAGTTCTTGATTTGCAAGAGCGGCCTCAACTTCTCGCCGACGATCCAAAGCAGGAAAGCCTCGTTTTCGTGCTACAGAGAATGTTATAGCACCTTCTTCACCTTCATCATCACTGACATCATTTTCATCTTCCCTGACTAAACGCCCAGTGGAAGCAGAGTGCCCCTCATATCTCTTTGTGTCATCCAGGGGAATAAACTCCTGCTCTGTCTGCCTGGCCATTTCACGCCTCTTGCGTGCAGCATGGATTGTAGCTGCATCTGGAATACTGATATCAGAAATGCCTGTTTTTATATTAGAGTTTGTAACTGGCTCTTTCTTTATAGACCCTGATTCAACAGAGTCAACATCGTCATTGTCCGAGACTTCCTCATCTTCCCTTGCCATTTTACTTAGCTCAGCACGCAAAGCGGCAAGTTTCTCATCAGCATCATCTTGCCCCTGATCAAAGCTTCCATCTCCAACAGATCTCTTCTCGTCGATTTTATCTTTCTTCTTGCGTTCCTGCTCAATTCTCTTTGCCAAGCGACGACTTTCCTTGGACTTTTTCACCTTAAAAACTTCACCATCGTCCGCAATGTCATCATCAAAGCTCAAGAGGGAATTAGCAGAAGAAGTTCCCTTGATCTTTGACTTTGGCTTCTCTTTTGGTTTGGAAATTTCAGTGTCAAAGCTGAGAAGCGGGTTTGCAGAAGAGACTACATTGGTCTTGATCTTGACCTTTCCTTGCTCTTTTTGTTTAGAATTATCGCCCGAACTTTCCGTTATGGTTGGAACGTTCTCTGTGTCTTCTTTATTCCCGTTTTCTTCGTCTTCATCAACAACTTTTTTCCGAAAATTTCGTCTGCCATGTTTCTTGAACATGGTGGCCATGATAGTCTGATGGGCGCGCAACGCATCACGGGAATTCCTTCTTTGCGCCTGACTGTTTTCATATTTTCGGAGACCAACAATTCTTTGTGTTGAGGATTTTATTTTTATTTTCGAGTTAAGATGTCTTACTTTTACGGCGGTGGCGGTGGCGGAGGACAAAGACAACCGAGACTGAATTATCAACCTAATCTAGATTTTAACTTACTGGCCACGGTACGCGATGAAATGCTTCGCAAGGAGGAGGAATACAGAAAGGAACAACAGAGAATCGAAGCTGAAAAGAAAAAGTTAACCAGCTATCTGACGCAGTTACAAGCCATGGTTCGGGATCTACCTGGGTGAGAACTTTTCTCATATGCATTTAAGAAACCTGTTAGGCCTGGTTATTAACACTATTTTAGGGAACGCTGAAATTAATAAACATTTATAGTAAAAACATAAACAGCCATGACGTGTTACAAATTTACAATTGTGGGTAAAGATAGTTGAATTGCATGGCAATATATTTCAGCCTAGTAAAACTGGAGAAAGCATGATAATTTATCAACACACTGGTTTAAACAATAGTGGAAACCATATATAAACTTTATGCATATATTTTGAATTGAGGTTACAGTGCGACTACTACATAACCAGGGCCACAGACAAAGTTGACCATTCAGATTGCAGAAAAGTAACAATTCATGTCTGAGAAAGTTTGTTGTCACTCATAATCGAAAAAATAAAAAAACATGGATCAAAAGCAACCAATATTACAACCTACAGACATGATCTTTTGAACCACTGAAGAAAGCCGGTTTTGTGAGAGGGCTGTGAGAGTCAATGACGGAGGCAAAAAAACATAAACATTAGTTACATTTTTGACTTGCAACACAATAACATTTCAAAAATAATTCTGCTTTTCATGATTTTCAGAGTTTCACCGTAAATCTTTGTACTATTGATATTTGCACTTTCAGCAGTTTAAAATTTATAGTCATTTAGCAAACTAAATAATTTCTTTGTATTATATATGACTGCTCATTCTTTACTAACAGAACATATAAAAAGAAATTTACTTATGATGTGCTCTCTGGAATTGCCACCTGTCTGCTTGATGGTACAGTCTTTGAGATTGTGAAGGGACTTGAAGACATACAACAACTGTCTGAGAGAAATTTGCTCAACAAAAGAATGAAATTAGTTAACTCCCAAAAAGGTACTACTTCTATGAATTAATATATTTTATTCATAAGAATTAAAAGTTTCGTTTCTTTTGCATCCAGATAAAAACTAGTATAAATGCTTGAAGTAACATCCTGCTTCAACCTCAAGTTTAAAATAACAGAAATTATGGTCACTGCTCGAAATAACGACAAGTTCACATAATTTATTGAGGACAGAATTGGAAGAACAAACTAAGGTTCCCTGAGCACTAATTTGAGTATTTGTCCATGACTGTTCATTCCTTGTATATGTTATGGGTTAAAATTGAATTCAGGTTATATTGGAAGAACAAACTAAGGTTCCCTGAGCACTAATTTGAGTATTTGTCCATGACTGTTCATTCCTTGTATATGTTATGGGTTAAAATTGAATTCAGGTTAAAATTTATAAACCATTCTTAATTTTCTTGTCTCATAACCCTATTATTATTCATGAATTAGGGCTTGGGCGACAAAGGGAATTGTTGGGATTTAGTCTAGATAATAAAAAAATTTAACCTGAATTTAATTTTGAGCTATAACATATATACTTTCAGGTTTCTATGTTATAGCCATTGCCTTGTTAGTCTTCTCTGTTATGACATTCACTAACTGCATGAAATGGACCAATTTCGATATATTAAAATTCATACTTTGCTCTAAGGCGTAAGGGAATGAAACAAAGGAATCAATCTTGAGGTTCAGCCATGAACAATTTTTTAATCCCAGTTTTGTTCCCCTAAGCATCGTAGCGAGGGATGAATATAAATATATCAAAATTGGTCTTTTGTCCTATTATTTTCAGCTCAGCGAATGGAATTATCCAAGAAACAAAGGGATGCCATTCAAAGCTGTGAACAACGGCCTCATAACCTTCCCCTTGTTGAGGCTTCCAATGCTCAGGAAAAGAAGGTATTGGAGCTGGCCCCTTGCATGTAATAAACAATTTTTTACTTATAAAAGAACTTATAAATAAGTAAAATGTCAGGTAACAGTAAATGTAATATTTTCTAGCATAAATTTCAACCTTGAGGGTGGGGTGTACCTGTGAAGTGCTCATTGTTTTGCTACAGTTGATTCTGAAGTAATGCGTGCTATATGATAATTGTTTTTTTTGTTTGTATGTTGTGTCAGTCTGACAGTATTAAAAAAACTGATGGTTGATCCTACAATGTGTTATGACAAACAAAAAATACAATAAGGCCGATTTTCTTTTCTTAATAACTTGCTCTTTACTGGATTTGTTAAATTTCTCACATCAATTGCCTCTGATTACTGTCAGTAAGGTACTGCCTGGTCCCAAGTCACTCGCAATCACTTTTTTGGGATATTTGAGTTAATTATTAAGGAAAGCCTGGAGTGATTTTGTGTCAATTAGTTATGGTGAGTCCTGGGACTCATCTTTCAAAAAATCATGAGTCCCTGTCCATAACCAATGAGTCCCAGTAAACTGTTAAAAAAAACAAGGAGTCCCAAATTGAAAATGCTTGGACCTTTATGTAACCAGACAGTTAATCTGAAGACAGACAACAAAACTCTTTATTACAAATGAATGTTTAACAGAAAAACCGTCAGGGATGTGTGACACTTGTACTTCAATAGCTGATAAGGTGATATTCGGCAAAGAAATATCAAAAAGGATGTATATACGTCCCAATTCAAATGAAACTGAAATTGATATTCAGTCCTTTCGGCTGAACAGTGCCTAGTTGAAAAATCAACCGCATCTCACATTACTTTCATTGAATGTTAAGTTAGTACCACTGCATAATGCCACACCACGCACCTGGACATACGTGTACTGTGGCCAGTGAGTGTGAATAACAATTTCAGTTTCATTTGAATTGGGACGTTATATACATCCTGTGCATGCTATTACGCGTGTGCATGCCTTTATCATTTTTATGATGTCTATGATATTGTGTAGTACTGTACAATGGTTTTTTCTTGGGCTGAAGAACTGATACCATCGTATTTTCTAAATTAATAAGCCCTTCATCAAATGTGTTTGAAAGAAATAAGCCCGCCGAGGGGTTTAAAAAAGGATTTACTGTATGTAACCTTCAGGTAAAGTTTAAAGACATATACAATGCACTGAGGCCAACAACACTGGATAGGATGCTAGTCCACCATAATACCAGATCTGAGTGGCAAGAGACAATGTGGAGCAAAGTTTCTTGTCTAAGAACAGAATAGCGAGGCTTGAGCCGCGACCTTACACAGATTAAGGCATTAGCCCCTTTACCACCATGCCTCTATTTTGTCAGTAATTAGATGGAATTTACTAAACATCCCTTTACAAATCTCTAAAAACAATTTGTATTTCCCAAGGATTTGGAAGAGAAGTTAGAAAAAGAAATTTCTCATGTGGATCAGAAATTGGTTTTGGAACTGGACCAGTTAGTTAGTGATCAACAGGCAACGCTCCAAGTAAGTCTCATTTTGTATACTACTTTTGTGTCATGCAAATAAAATAAAATAGACCTTCTTTTGTGTAAATATAACCTTAGATCTTCAGGTAGTATTTTTACTTTCTATGCCAGCTGCTCGATCGAAGACGTTAGGTGATAGAGCCTTTATGGTAAGAGCGCCAACGCTCTGCAACTCTCTTCCAAAAGAACTTTGTGCGATTACTAATGTGAACAGTTTTAAGGCGCATATATAAGACTTATCTTTTTAGAACTTTATATTGGTGAGCAATTTTATATTCAGTTCTTAATTGCATGCATATATATTCTTTTATTGTTATTTATTTATTTTTAATGCATCATCTGTTATTTGTTTCTTGTAAAGTAATGTAGTTGTAATGCACCGCTGATCATTCTCATTTTAAGCTGCACACAATAAGTTCATAAATTATTATTATTATTATCATTATTATTAAATGAAAATGCAGAAATCCTCTCTGTCATGGTGATGGCCCACTATGTTTCTTGCTCCATAGTGTAAGTTTATTTTTTTTACCTGAAAGAGATCCATTACATAACCTTTCTTTTTAAGAGAGAATTTTGAGTGTTTGTAATTACATAAAAATTACCTGGGATTAACTGGTGGACATACCAGTAATAGAAAAATGTTATGCTAAGACACTATTGATTATCCTTTTACAGAGAGCTGGTGTGCCATTGTTTTCAATTACAAATAATCCAGATGATATCCGACTTCAAATGTACATTCTGGATTTCATACAGCGACTGGACCATTCACCCAGTTAAAAATAAATGATGTGAGGAGAGTAGGGACATAATGAATAGAGGTTTCATAGTCACTCAAAAAATATTAATACTCTACTGTTGAAAGGCACATGGAGGGGGCACATGGGGTTTTCTGAACATTGGAATCCTGAGAATTTCTTGCCGTCTGGATGGAAATAGATTACCCGGTATGTCCAACAAAAATACAGATTGATGAAGACCTTTTTTGGTCTTGAAACACCACTGGAAAAATCATAAATTACTGACAAATTTTTGTGGTGGTCCAGACATAATCAGTACAGCATTTTGAATTATGCAGGGTTTGGATGCATCACTGGATGTATAAATATATTATAAAGATAGACTTTAACCAGTACACCACCACTGGTTGTTGTCATGGTAACCAAAAAACAAATTTTTTGGTTTCTTAAAAAATATATTTTAGTCTTGGAGATTTAAATTTGTTTACGGTTGTATCTGTGTAAAAATAATAATAATAATAATGGAAAGATTTGAAGGTGAAAAAAAGAGATTGGTCTGTTAATCATTGTTTAAACTCTTTCTTTATAATTACTATTGTTATTCCATAATTCTGAAGGCGCCACTGGCCTTTTTTTCACATGAAAACTGTACCTTATTGACAACACTAAAATTAACAAATAACTACTGCATTTTCCTGTGCATTAATTTACTGAAAATTTATGTCCTGCAGAAAAAACTGGGAATGACAGTTCTGAGACCCTAAGTTTAATAATTTTCTGGGGGATCATGCCCCAGATCCTGCTAGGTTGGCCTGCCTTCAGTGCCACGTTTTTTCTTCCCTGCGTGCATACACCTTCAAAATCTCATGCTAAACCCCAGGCTGAGCTGGTTGTTCAAACACTGGATAGCACTACCCACCGGATAAATTACTATCCAGCAGATAAATATTAGGGAAACCAGTTGCCCTATCCACTTGATAGAGATTTATCCAGTGGATAGTGTTATCCACCTTTTGAACAACTGGGCCCTGACTAGTAAAAATGACTTTAAAAAAAATACTGTTTTTGTAACCATTTCAGAACTACAACTGTTTATAACTGTATGTAGGGTTTATTTCAGCTTGAAAAGTTTCAATGAAAACCTTAAGGGTCGTTGAATTATTTGGAAAGAAGTACGGCTGGATAAAGCAACAAGATTTTTACTGGAAGTTAATTTGCACTTTTCTCAAGCATTCTTTACACAATTGATTGTGCTCATTAAGGTACGCTTTGAAACAGCCTGCTAAATTGCGGCCGCCTCCATCTCTTCCTGTCTCTCAAAACTAAAATGGTGGGTTGCAATAAGAGGCAGCTGTATTTGCTAGCTAGGTTTTAATTTTTCATGACCTAGGACATTATAATATATGAAGTCTTACATGAGCGACATGCTATCAAAATTTGCTTTATTCATCATTGTAATGATAAATAATTAATCTTTGTTAGTGACTAAATACATGCCAGAATGTCCCAGAAGCCATACAATGAATAAAAAAGTTCTTATTTTGCAAAAAAATAGGCTAAATTTCAAAATGAAGCACAGAAAAACTCAAAAGTCCCTTTTTGCCTGGGAGATTTTGGGTGACCTGTACGGGACGGTGGCAGACTAGTGCTGTATCTGGGAGACTCCCAGATAACCTGGCAGGGTTGGCATATATATGTGTTCAAGATGCAATATAGCAAAATTGTATACCCTGTACCCTGACTCAGAACCCCGAAACTATTATCTTTTCAGAAGAACATACCCATTTAGGCCAACTGAAGGAGTACCTAACCGTCTGGGATAAAAGTTTATTAAGGGGTTGGATGTCAAGGAGGCTTAAGTCTCCCTCATAGCTGCTTTTGTCTTGTCATGCAATGCTAAATGGCTACAAAGGAAACTAGACGGAGCCTGCCCATAAAAATTTATTGAGTAGACCCTTTCCCGGGCCCTCACCCCGGGGGGTACATATAGGTATGTGCCGCCCAAAAGGGTATAGTTTTTGTGCCGTTTGGGTCTGAAAACGGGTGTAGACTT